AGATAGATAGATAGATAGATAGATAGATAGATAGATAGATAGATAGATAGATAGATAGATAGATAGATAGATAGATAGATAGATAGATAGATAGATAGGGGCCTAATTTCGATTTGAATTGTCAACACTCAAACCAAATATAACTTTTAAACTTTAAAAACAAAAACGTCAATGTCCACTGTACAGTCGAACTAGCGAAGTTTAGGGGATATAACTAACTATATAATTCATCTCTAAAGATCCTGGCTCTCTGTGATAGCGGAGATTGTGTTGTTCTTGTCAAGGAGCCATTTTTTGTCAAAGAGCCGCTGTATCCCACTTAGGAATATTGCAGACGTGCAGAGAGTCCAATGATATCTTGGCCTTACTTCTTGTAACGGACTAGATCTGGCGGGAGACCTTTGCGAGGGACACCCCCCCCCCTCCCAAACTTTCCATTAAAACGACCTTTTGGTTTGTGTCTCCTGCATTTAACATGAGGTCGACGCCCCTGCATCACCAGCCCAATGGCATAGAGCGGCGGTTCTCACCCTGTGGGTCCCGACCCTTTTTGGGTGGTCGAACGACCCCTTACGCAGGGGTCGCTTAAGACCATCGGGAAACACATATTTATTAAATAGCAACGAAAATAATTTTATGGATTCGGGGTCGGGGGGGGGGTGGGGGGTCAAGTTAAAGTGTCACGGCATTAGGAAGGTTGAGAACCACTGGCATAGAGTTTCAAAACCTATAAACCCACAATGTATCCTGCGTACAGTTGCAGCTACATTTCGACTGAATTCATTTTTGTTGCCAGTAACCCGACGCTGGAGTTGGAATACGCAGATCAGATGCCATGCACGTAAGCCATTAGCTTTGAAGGTCCACCCAGGACGTAGCTGCTGCAGGCAGTGGCGTAGCTATGTTCAGCGCCGCCAGGAGGCGAGCCACGAATTTTGCCGGCCCTCTTGCACGAAAACAAAACAAAACAACACACATATGCACTTGACTCATTGTTAAATGCAGGAGACCCATTTTACTGCCATGCAGGAGACCCATTCTACTGCCATGCAGGAGACCCACTTTACTGCCATGCAGGAGACCCACTTTACTGCCGGGGCAAACTAAATAAAGATGAAAAAAAAAATAGTGCTCCCCGGAGCCCCCCCTCCCTCTCCCTCCCTCCGCACCCCTCTTCCTACGCCGCTAGCTACACGGGTATTTACGCCCCTAAAGTATGCACCGTTATTGGTTTAAGTTATCCGTGAACTGTTATCTTCAAGATGTTTGCCACCTCACCAAAGTTTAGTTCTAAAAAAAAATAAAAAATAATAATACTAGGTCTAAAGGTGTTGGTGTATCGGGTTTGTCCATAAAGTACATCACGCGCTGGAAAAGGCCGGGGGGGGGGGGTGGTATTATAAAGTGTGACAGTTTGTAACACGGGGGCGGAGGGGGGGGGGGGGGGGGGGGGGGGGGGGGGTTTGTATTATAAGGTGTGACAGTTTGTAGCGCGGGGGGGGGGGGAGGGGATGAGATCATATGTTTTTATAGCCATTTTAATGTTTAACATAGTCATTTATATTTATATATGTTTTTATAGTCATTTTTCACAAAGTAGTGTCTGTGGTTGTTCATTTTTATTTGCTTTAGCAGTTTAAATAGTTGATATATTTTTAATAATTGTAAAGCGCTTAGAGATGTAAGGTAAGCGTTATAAAAAAAATGCCTAAAAAATAATAATAATATGTGACATCACACATCTCTATTCTTTTATCATACCTTTTTGTGTTGTTGTTCGTCCCGTTGACTGATGACTTGCGCGGGTGACTTTTGTTTAAAGTGAGGAAAAGTTGCGCGGCGTCAACCTCACTCTCTCGTCCGGGCCCACCATATCCAGTGGCAAGACTCTACGTCAAGACGACCCAACGATGGGTACGGTTGCAGGAATTGTCATTGTATGCGCCTCACGGGACTCCATCTCCGGGTTTGAATTCAGAGTTTCCTTCCCTCAGATGAGTTGCCGACCAAGGTTAACGCGTCTCATCCACCCTACTACGATATAGTGACGGTGGTGTTTAACTTTCTGATGTGCTTGGTTATATTCTAACAGAGGATGCCACTAAGCACGGTGCCGAATGTTAATACTGAAGTTTATTTTGGACTGAATCTTAATTTTTGGACTGAATCTTAATGAGTTGCATATTTAATTTTCTTTTAATTTTTAAAATTATTTTTGGAAGTGTAACGGGAAAGGGGGCAGGGCCGGCTCAAGGCGTTGGCAAAGCGGGCCAGTTGCCCGGGGCGCCATGTGCTTAGGGCGCCATCAACGATCTTTCAAAATAGGAAAAAGCATTGGATGTGGGCGCCATGGAAGAAAAATTAGAAAGCTCAATTCAAAAAGATTTGCTGTGCTAAAGGCTTGAAAACAAAAGTGTTATCGGTAGGCAGAGTGTACATACTGCCCGTGGTAGGCAAAGTGTACATACTGCCCATGGTAGGCAAAGTGTACATACTGCCCGTGGTAGGAAAAGTGTACATACTGCCCGTGGTAGGCAAAGTGTACATACTGCCCGTGGTAGGCTAATTGTAAACACTTCCCGTGGTAGGCTAATTGTACACACTGCCCGTGGTAGGCTAATTGTACACACTGCCCGTGGAAGGCTAATTGTACACACTGCCCGTGGTAGGCTGTGAACATAATGCCCAAGTATAACTTAAGAAAAACAATATCATTGTTCAATGTTTGTTAAAAAAACAAAAACAAAAAAACCAACAACCACCTAGGTATCAGATTT